TGTTATTAAATAGTTTTGTGTTTTTGGATATTTTATATGTTAAACAAAGACTCTACCATTATGTACCTCTCAATATTTTAGCAGCAATCTTCATCAGAGATATTTGATGTTTTTCCCATGAAAACCTCGTGTTCATTTTATCCATTACATGCCCTTGTGCTTTACAGGAATTCACCGAGATATTATGTTGAAAATCTCCGATTTCTTCTGTTATGTTTTCCTACTGACGTTTCTTTCATGTTTTCTGGCAAATGACATGCTTTTTTTCTTGTGACTGTAACTAAGAAAGAAAATCTTGCATTTCTACAGCATTTTTTTTTTGCTTTCTGTGCGTCCCAAAGCACTTTATAACCAATGAAGTACTTGAGCAATGAAATCACTGATGTAATGCAGGACAGTGCAGCTTCCAATCTGAATATAGCAACCTGTCACAAAAAGCAATGGATGTAATGACCAGATTGTCTGCTTTCATCATAAGAACATAAGAAATAGGAGCAGGACTCGGCTATCTGGCCCCTCGAGCCTGCTCCGCCATTCAATAAGATCATGGCTGATCTTTTCTTGGACTTACATCTTCTTACTCACCTGCTCACCATAACCCTAAATTCCTTTACTCTTCAAAAGTCTATCTACTTTTGCATCAACGAGGAAGCCTCACTGTGTTCACTGGGCAGGGAACTCCACAGATTCACAACCCTTTGGGTGAAGAAGATCCTCCTCAACTCAATCCTAATTCTGCTACCCCTTATTTTGAGGCTATGTCCCCTAGTTCTAGCTTCACCTGCCAGTGGAAACAATTTCCTGCTTCTTTCTTATCTATTCCCTTCATAATTTTGTATGGTTCATGTGATGTTAATGAGAGATCAATATTGGCCAGGAAATTGGGGATAACACATCTGCACTTCTTAAAAGTTGTGCAAGGGGATCTTTCACGTCTATCCAGATGGACATATGCTGTCTTGGTTCGATGTCTAATCCAGAGGCCAGTGCTTTCCCCAATACAGCACTTGTATAATACTGTGCTGGCATGTCAGCCTCGTATGAGGATGCTGGATTGGGACTTAAATCCACAACCTTGGAAAAATCAGATGGGAGAGTATCCTCAGTGAACCTAAGCTGACACAATAATTTGAGAAACAAAGAACTGTGGATGCTGGAATTCTGAAGTTAAATAACTTTAGGGACTGAAGACCTTCTTCCATGTCCGTTATCTACTCCACACCCTCAGGGCCTGTCAACAAATGGGTTGCCTTCAGCCCAGCTAACCTATTTTTCACCGACTAACGGTGCCCATTAGCAGCCTTTCTTTGTCCGTGTCTCACCATTATGCATCCCTTCATCTGCCCAACTGCTCTTCTCTCTCTCTGGGCTCTATCTTCACCTCTCATTTACTCCTCCCACTACCCTCTCCCCACTCCTTTTGTCTTCAGCATATGTATCACTTTTTCGTAGTTACAATCTGGACTGAAGAATGGTCGCTGGACGCGAAATGTTAACTCTGCTTTCTGTCCACTGATGCTACCAGACCTGCTGACTTTCTACAATAACTTAGCAATTCCTCATGAATATGCCTGAGTTTTTTTTTATTCCATTCCTTTTGAACATCATTAAAAGCCATTCAGTTGGCTTCTCCATATTATTTACACAGTAGGTTGATCCCACATGACACGTGAGGATCATAGTCACATGCTGATTCCTCAACTAAAGCCACTGAACCTTCCTCTCTTAAGGTTGGCATGGTGGCTCAGTGTTTAGCACTGTTGCCTCACAGTGCCTGGGACCTGGGTTCAATTCTAGCCTCAGGCAACTGCTAGTGTGGTGTTTCTACATTCTCTGTGTGGGTTTCCTCTCACAGTCCAAAGATGTGCAGGTTAGGTGGATTAGC